TATGGCGTCACTATGATGTTGTAGAGGCATAAAAGATTATTTAATGTGACAAAGTGCCCACTCTACAGACAGTGAAACTCACTTGATTTCATTGGCTATCTCCTCCTCTGTGTCCCCTCTCCTCCTCAGTATGAATATGAGAAACAGCACCATGGCCACCAGTCCCACCACTGACCCCAGAGTAGCTGCTGTAATCACACCTGCGTTGGAAGCTGAGAAACGTAACAAAGATGGAGTGGTGATTTGCCAAACAAACTTTTAAATACTCTGGGGTGAAGGAGAATAAAAGCAGAGTTCATGCTGTGTACATACAGGTGAAAACCTCCAGGTTAATGGAGCAGCTGTCGGAGCCGGCGGTGTTGCTGGCTCGACAGATGTACTTCCCTGACATGCTTTTAGTGAGGTTGCTCAGCCTGAGGGTACCGTGTCTCTCATCTGAAAAAAACAACTGTAGTTACACACTCTTCACAATCACATATTTATGTGATCTGAGCCAGGAAGAAGAAAAACGTCAAGGGAACTAAACACATGAACTTACTACAGTACGAAGTAACAGACTTACTATATATACACAATTACAATTGACTATAACTGGATTTATATTTATTAAAAATAAAAAGTTTGTTCGTTTGCAACTTAGTTTTCTCTTTTAAACTTAAACATGGGATTCTTTCTATCAGTATCACAAGTATTATGTTAGTATCACTTTATTTATTTTTGTTGTTTTTTTATATCATGCTAAGACTAATGTATTCAACATATCATTGCAGTGTTAATACAGAATATAATTATTGGCTGGTTTCCATTACTTAGTGGAGGAAAAGAAATGTTACATTGCTGCAATCTAACAACACTAGTCTGTTGATGCTGGACATGAGTTTTTGTTTTCATATTTTCTCACACATGCAGTGAGAGCATGTGCATCAGTCTCACAATCTGTTCCTCTTAGCACATCTGATCTTAATATACTATGTTGCAGACATAGGCTGTCGAAAAATAAACAAGCTTCATGCTGGATTTATCACAGCAAATCCTCTGAAATCCAATCTGAGACGTCATATCGCAGCACGCCTTCATCTGATCTCATTTTGATTCATGGCGGCAACTGAGAGTAGGTGTTTTACTACTAGGGAGGGTACTAGTAGGGAGGGTTTTACTGGAAACCCTCCCCTGAAAAAGTGACTGTAAAGCATTGAGTCAGTCACAAAGGGCAAAAGAAGTAGATTTAGTGGAAAGGTGTGAGCAAAATCTTTAATAATTATTCCCAAACTGCTCTAATCCCAAAGTTTTGGTTGGGCAAAGGCTGGACTGAGCTTTGTTTTGTCTCTCCTGTTTCACTACTACAAGGAGGGCTAAGGTAGGCAGATGTAATAATTTCTAAATCTGTTGTGTTTTCAATAAATACAGAAGAAGAAGAAGCTGCTGACATATATCCTGCCCCTCTAGGTCTTAAAAAAACATTGAAATCAAAAGTAGAAATAAATTATGCCTATGCTTATTAAGCTTAAGACCAGCGTGTTAACATTATGCGTGAGAAATCAAAATAAACCCAAGAAAAACAGTTGTGGATAAGGGTGATATGCACCTGTCCTGCTGTGATTATTTAATCTCTGGGCCTAAAAAACAGCTGTGAAGGCCCCAACCTAATTGTGACAGATTAGCCGCGTATCAGCTGACTCGTTTGGAGCGATTTCAAGCCTGCACAGTGATCACAGATCCCCGTGGCAACAGAGCTGCAGGGATCTGATGTTACAGTAAGTGCGACTTCATGTCAAGATGGGACCATTACTCATGTTATGCTGCCATCACTGCAAGGTCAATGAGCAGCATTTGTCAAAGCCTTGACACATGACATGTGACTCATGGAAACTGGCAGACTTTGCAGCTAATAGTATAGTCAGCTACCTCACATGGCATATGTGCCCATCGAATGCAGGATTAGTTTGCACAGCAATGTAAGCAAACATGTTTAGTTTGGATGTCAGTAAAGGGTATAACATTAATTCTGACCTAAAGGGCTAAACAGCCATAAGCTGATAAAATTTCGAGTAAGTAAGAAGCACAACTAAAACAGAAGCATAAAAGACACCTTTCCCTGTTTATTCACTCATATATCTATTAATTTCATGCCTATGTTTAAATGATATCCTTAGTATGAGGAGTGTCTCAAGAGTTTTTGGGCTGCAGTAACAATATTAAAACAGATACAGTATATAGGGCAAAAAAAAAAAA